AAATATTTTTAAAAGGGAAAAGAGAAATAGATGCACTTTTAAAATAAAAAAAATCAAAGTTGCTTTAATAACTTACACTATATTTTGAATCTAAAAAGTTAATTTGGAACAATTTTCAATGGAAATACTAACTACTATTCTTCTGGAGGAAAAGGCCTTTAAAAGCCTGCAAAAAAAGGGGTGGTGGTGGTGGTGGTGGTTGAATTTCCCCCCCTAAAAAGACTGATTGCCAAAACACCACTGCATATGTTTAATGTAGTTCTAAAATAAGGTTTCTTGCCTTAACTTGTATGAAATGTGAATTCCTTAATTAAACTTTATCAGAGAAAGATGCATTATGCATATGGACACTTAACAACAATAAGTGCTTATTTAATGATGAGCAGAGCACTAAAATGAATATATTGTAAAGTTAATTGGGAATTGAAGTGATTGCTCTTTAATGTGACAAGCAGGGGATTACTTATTTCAGTAGTCGGCATGTGCAATTTTCTCCCAAAAGGAAAAAAAACAATCTGTCAAATTGCTCTTCTCATGTTTTCTCTTAAGAGTAAGATATTATGTGTTGCAAATGCATATTTTGCAACTACACTGCTTTAAGTCTACCACCCGTCCCAGCTGGCCTTTTGATCTCTGATTGATCCTCAATTCATACAAAGCCCAAAAGAGGGATGAAGAAAAAAAAAACCTGACATGGACTTTATGGAAGGGATTTGGAGCCACCTGCTCCAACGGACAGCCTGGCCTACCCAAAAGCTGTGAAGCCAGTCAGAGTTCCTCACAACTCTCCTGCCCATTTGTGAATGATTTGGGAAAAAGGAATATGTGCCTGAAAATCGTTTGCAAAAGATAGATCAGTGTAAAGAAGAAAAAATCGAGCGCTGATATAAAAAATTTGCATTAAGAGTTTGCATGAAGAAAATGTATTAAACAAAGTCACGTGAGAGAAATAGAGCTGAAAAGGGTTTCTTAGGGAATCCGTCTTAACAGATGCATGCATTCAGGGAAGCCTCTCTATATTAGGAAGAATTGCATATTTAAATAGTTGAAGTTGGTTTTGCACCCTACAGAAACTGGGCCTTTTATTCTGGGGCTCTTCATCAGGAGCCAGTGATAAAGGAAAAGAAGAGAAAAGCTTGTTTTTCCACAGAAAATGTTTAAAGGGCCAGGGGTGTCAAACTGCAGGGGTGTCAAACTGCCGGCCCGTGGGCCGGATGCGTCATGAGGAAACCACGCCCACCCCATTGCTGGCAATGGGGAAAAAGTTCCGATATGTCGCACGATGTCACGTGACGTCACGGGTTTGACATGTCTGTTCTAATGATTCGCAGAAAAATATCTTTGTGACTGGCATTTTGTTTCTTTTCGTGTATCCCAACATATTGTCTCACTATACTGCTCCATTTTTGAGAGGAAAGCAATTATAGTGTCACACTTTTCTTTTGGCAGCTTCACATAGTCAGTGGAAGGCTCAATTTTCAAAATAATGGTCTTTCAAGTTTAACCAGATCACAGAAGGTTACCTGATCACAGAAGGTTACTTACCAGCCTGTCCAAGCTGGTGCCAGCAGCAGTTGTTGGTCTTTCTTCTGGGTTATAAGGTCGAAAGCGAGTGTTGAAGTTTTCAGGAATGGACCGAGATGCTCTTACGCCTGGAGCTGGCTTAGGCTGTCCACAACCTTGGAAAACCTACAAGTAAACATGTTCAGTTACACACAACAGATGCACTGAAGATAAAAACCTCAAAGCAAGTTACAAAGCTTGAAAATTTGAATCAGTAGGTTTTTTTTACTTGCTATGCAAGTCTTCAGTGGATTTATTTGTTAAAGGCCATCAATCAACCAGTATAATTTCAGAAATTTTACTTAGCGTTATCTAAATCTGAACTGTAAGCTCCTATCTGCTGTATCAGATAGGCCTCGGTTCATGAATGCCATATTTGAATGGTTCTGATTTGGTTTCCAGTCCACACACAGGCTGAACAATGGCTTTAGAGTTTGGCAATTGTTCTTTTCAGCATCAATTATCTGAGTATGGATTGTCTGAAGGACTATGCAGCAATCTCCCGAAATTCTTAGGTTTTGTTCTTTTAAGGCTGTGCAACTCTTGCTAGTCTCGCTGTTCAGCAGATTTGTTCTGGAACTTCACAACTGCCCCATTTTCTATGGAAAAGCAATCTTTTTAGCATCAATTGCCTATATCATAACCTATTTTATAACATGCTCTGTTTCCTAAATAGAACAGAACTGAACTAAGAGGTATTCAGAAGAAAACCAGACAGGTTGCCATTGGTATAATCTGCGGGACAAATGACCTGGATTTTGTAATTTGTTAACTAACAAAGTTATTTTTGTATTTTGTATTTTAATTTGATGTATTTTCTCTCTTTTAAAATAATGTTGGTTCATTACAGATTGGAATATAGGATAGTTGTATGGATTGGTTAGATAGCTTTTAACCTTCCTAAACTGAAAAGATAAATCTTCAGATTGATTATTTTCTCTGCTCAGGTACAATACAGACAGGAATTTAGGAATAGCTTTTAACGTTCCTAAATTGAAGAGATAAACAGGTTGAAGATTATCTGAAGATAAGAAAAGGTTTGTTAGTACAAATTGGGGTCTGGTTTATCTCTTTAGTGAACTCTAAACAACTTTTTTCCTTACAATTTATGCCTCTTCTGACATCAGACCTCATTTTAATGAACATGTATGATATTATGGGATGCAAATGTGTAACATGCTTGACCATATGTAACTGATTTCCTGTGCAAAGGGGAGGTTACTTTTATCCTGTCCAATCAACTTTGCTCTTGGATGTTTCTTCGTTATGCTAATTATAAAAGGTGTTGTAAGCTAAAGATTGGGGTTCCTTCTTTGAATGAGAGGAATCCCTTTTGTCTGAATATTCTGATAAATTGTAATAAAATGATCTTCCCATCTCGGTTTGTCTCATTGGAAAATATGCATGCCGAGGCATGAGGCTAAAAGAGCCACATTTGGCCTTCAAATCCCTACTAATGTTTGGTCAAAAAAGGTATTTATATTAATAAAGGAAAAATCATAATATATATCCTGACAGTCACAAAACTAAAGAATACCAAAGAGGGGCAATAACAGACTTATGTTTGAATAGAATAGTGGAGAAATCTTCCTACTCCAACATGTTGCAACTAAATATTAATATCCCATAGACAGAAGGAAGCACATATGGTTGATTATGAATGGATGAGGATTACGATTTATCATAAAACTTCAATATAGTAGTATACTGAAGTAGTATACTATAGTAGTATAATATGATACAGTTACAGAATCTGGGAGACTTGAAATTAAGAGGAAGTTAAGCTAATTGATGCTACTTATTGTTAAATCAGAGACTCTATCAAAATGTCACAAACTACAGTTGGATATGTTGAGATCAGGCTGGAGGTATATGGATCTAGATGATTAATTTCTCCCATTTTTCAATCATGTTTGATATTAAAAGCCTGTGACACTGATTCCTTGTCATGAACTTGTCAGAAGTTTTGCCAAGAAAGTAATTTGTGAGTAAATGAAGAAACACGGCATTTGTGCCCCTAGATCAAATCATATCAATGAGAAAAATATTGGCTGAAATGGTGGGAAGCAGTGGGAACTTTGTAACAAAGTGACCAGGTCATCTTCGGCTTCAAGATTCTGTAAGAAATGAAATTGAAGCCCAGCCATACATACTAGTTTTCATGGAAGCCAATACTAATAAGCTGAAAGAAGTACTAGATGGGAACTTATGAATAAAAATCCTAGGTCAGAAGGCCCAAAGATAGCTTAAAAAAAGCATGCTTTCTTTTTGTAGCAATAGCAATAACACTTAGACTTATATAGCCCTTCATAGCGCTTTACAGCCCTTTCTAAGCAGTTTACAGGCTCAGCATATTGCCCCCAACAATGTGGGTCCTTATTTTACCAGCCTTGGAAGGATGGAAGGCTCAATCAACCTTGAACTGGTCAGGATCAAACAGCTGGCAGTCACCAGAATTAACCTGCAATACTGCATTCTAACCACTGCACCATCACAGCTCTTATAGAG